TTCAGCTCTCTGGGCTGGCTTTCTGTTCTGAGGAGTGGGTGGTCACCAGGTCAGGCAGGTGGAGACACTCTGGGAGGAGGGACCACAACCTGGGGACCCTGAAGAATCCCCCCCTGCCTGGTCCCCACATGAGCGCTCACAGCTGTGACCCCTCCTGACCTCCCCTGAGGGCTCTGTGACCCTGGGCAAGTCACCCAGCCTCTCTGTGCCTCCTTCTGCGGAGCCCAGTGTGGTCGCTGACGGGACTGACCTCATCAAGCTGCTCACAGGGTTAAATGCAAATCCACAGGAATCGGTGCCTGCTTTATGTCCTCACAAGTCATACCTAATTTATAGAGGGGGTCCAGGGGCCTGGCTGGCTCCATCAGAAGAGGGGGTGATTCTAGATCTGGGTGGTGGGTTCGAGCCCACACTGGATGTAGGGCCTACTTCAAAAAAAGGAGTCTGAATTTGGCAAACTGAAATTTAAAAAATCATTGTCACTGAGAAAACAACGTGCCCTGTTCCCCCTGGCAGGAGCTCCTGACGATGAAGCTCATGTTACATGATTGAAAGTGGGGGCAAGTGTTTCCAGCACAGAGCCTCCTTCCCCCCGTGTCCGCAGCCCCCTGCTCCAGGGGAGCCCGTCCTATGTGCTCCCAGTTCCCAGGGGCCGCTGTGTTTTATCACAGCTACACCGCGTGGATGACCTGCTGCCTCAGGACTGTCTGTACCACTAGGTAACATCAATGCAAACGAGGGTCCTGATCTCAGAGATGGGGGGGGTGGGACCTGTGCCCGAGGGTTCCCGTGGAGCGGGAGCCTGCACGCCTCCCCGAGGACAATCACTTGCAATATTAACTATTTCTTAGGGCATTTACCTCTATGTTTCTAAAAACATTGATTTTAAAAAATAACGTTCTCACATTAGTATTTTCAGGTTAGTATTTTCAAATACTGAATTTCACATTCAGTATTTTCACCATGTACTTTCCATCAGAGAGATGAGGATTTTCCTCTCTTCCATGCCTCTCTCTCACCCTCCTCCGGCCAACTAACAGATATACAGCCTGTTTGTTGATCAAGGATAGCATCTTAATCTATAATTTTATTTTATTTATTTTTTTAAAGGTTTTTTTTTTAATTTTTATTTATTTATGATAGTCACAGAGAGAGAGAGAGAGAGAGAGGTGCAGAGACACAGGCAGAGGGAGAAGCAGGCTCCATGCACCGGGAGCCCGACGTGGGACTCGATCCCGGGTCTCCAGGATCGCGCCCTGGGCCAAAGGCAGGCACCAAACCGCTGCGCCACCCAGGGATCCCTTAATCTATAATTTTAAAAGAGCTATAGCATTTATTACAGGCTCGACACTGTTCTGAGATCTGCAAGATCCCGAAGCCTGTAAGGGGCAGAGCTGGGACTTGAGGCCAGATAGGTGGTCTCCCTCTGGAATCCCAGCTTTCCCCTCTGGCGATACCACCTCCACAGCCTGTTTGTGGAGTGCTCACTATGGTACTCAGTGCTGGGCCCACAGGTGAACAAAATTAATTCCCAGCCCCAGGTACTTGTATTTAGGGGGAGACACTGGAAATAAACTAGGGACTAAGTAGATGTATAAGGTCAGGTGGTGGCCAGTGGGTGACCCAAGAGAAGCAGCGTCAGGCAGGGGAGCTGCTGTTCTAGATGGGCCTCCCTGGGCAGGGGGTTGGTGGCAGAGGCTTAGCAGGTGTGAGCGGGAACCGTGTAGGTCCAGGAAGGACGCTGCAGGCAGAGGTGACGGGAGCCACGGTGTGGAGCTGGGAGCCTGGCTGCTGGATGAGCGGCCACAGGCTGGGCTGGAGGGGGTGATGGGGGAGCAGGTAGAGGGGTGGGGGAGGGCCCAAGCCCCGAGGGTGCTGGGTCCTATCTAGGTGGGATGGGGGTGAGCAGAGCATCTGAGGGGCGCAGGGGCGGGGCGTGAGGCCGGATGAGGGCCATGCAGCCATGTGTCCAGGGGACACTCAGGGAAAGGGTGGGAGGGGTTAGACGCAGCCTCACTGTGTCTGGTCCTAGAGCCCGGGCTCCCCTGGGGGCGGACTGTGGCACCTGCTCCTCCAGGAGGGTTTCTAGTCTGAAGCCACTGTCAGCACAGAAATCATGCTGCCCTGTCTTTGTCCTTGGGTTCAGGGTCCTGAGCTCTCTGCCCACCAGGGAGCTGTTTCTGGGTGGGTTAAGAAGTTTCTGGAAGAGGCCGAATGTCAAGAGAAAACCCCCATCCTGAGCTCTCAGGATCTGCCCAGCAGCTCACTGTGGTGGGGGGGAGACTGTGAATAGACAAGGGGGCATCCTTGGCTCTTGATTTGACACTAGACCCCAGACGGGGCCTTTTTTTTTTTTTTTTTTAAGATTTTATTTATTTAATCCCCGGAGAAAGAAAGAGAGAGAGAGAGAGAGAGAGAGAGAGGCAGAGACATAGGCAGAGGGAGAAGCAGCCTCCATACAGGGATCCTGATGTGGGACTGGATCCCGGGACTCCAGGAGCATGTTCTGGGCTAAAGGCAGGAGCTAAACCGCTGAGCCACCCAGATGTCCCAGGGGGGCCTCTTTATTGTAGTCAAATAACCAGCATTTTACTTTGTGTGTCAATCCTGACATCATTTTTTTAAATTTATTTTTTATTTTTTTTTCTGACATCATTTTGTCAGCAGGAGGTCCCCAAGTGGCTGCAGGTTAGTGACTATTGTAGAATTTCCCTCATGGGGATATGGTGTCCAGAGGACCAAGACAGGACTTTGAGAGTCTCCCCCAGGGCCACAGGGCCTTTCGAGGACCTGGGCGACGTCCCTGAACTGAAGAGGAGAGGGTGAGGCCACGGAGGACCCATGGGTTAAGGCAGGTAGGAGGGGGTTTGGGGTGTGGGAATGGGCAAGGTAGAGGGGAGAAGACACAGGAGGAGGGAACCCGCAGGTACTGAGGTCAATCTGAGGGCCCAGGCATCACGGTCGCCAGGTGATGGATGAGGGCGCTGGTTTCCGAAGGATGAGTGACTCGCCCAAGGTCCCACAGCTCATCTTGATTCCCAGGGCCTGAGGCCTGAGCCCAGTGTCCATTCAGAACAACAGGAGGCCTCACAGTCCCCGGGGTCGGGATCTCACACACACAGGCCGCTGCTCTCCTCCTGGAGTCTCCCTCTTCTCACACCCAGCACCCCTGAAGCCTGGGGGTCCCACGGCCACCTCCTCTGCCTCGGACTCAGCCCTGCTCCCCGAGGACGCAGAAGGGGAACCAGCGCTGTGGCTGCTGGTGCTACTGGGTGGTGGTGGTGGTGGGGGTTGTTGTACTACATTTATCCCATCCTCCCAGCACAGCTGCCAGGCGGGCCCAATCTGTTGACACACGAGGTGGGTAGGCTTTGCCCACAGTAGCTCAGCTTCCTGGTGGAAGTGGGAGTGGCATCTCCCACCTGTCTTCCTGGAGCTCTGCCGCCAGCACACTGGTCTATCCTGTGCCCATCACACGCCTGGGGCCAGTGGGAGGGAGAAGGGAGCCCCCCTGAACCTGAGCCCAGGTGTCTTGTCAAGGGAGACATTGGGGGAGCAGGGAGCGCCCACATGAGCTGCTCCAGTCAGCAGCCTTGCAGGTCTGACTGCCTGCCTGGGGCTGGAGACACTGGGCTGTGGGTGATTCAGCCAGTGTGGCGGGTAGCTGTGATCTGCAAAGGGCTGGATGTCAGAAGCTTCGAGATTGCAACCACAGGCTTGTATCCTCTACTTGTGGGTGTGAGAATGAGAGAGTCTGCCCTGGGTCAGGCCTGCCCTCCCTCCCCCTCAGTGTGCCAGGGACTTGGGTCAGGAAAGACCAGTGGCTAGAGCTGTAAAAAGTCCCTGGTGCTGGGCCAGCATGGAGGGCGTGCTGGCTGACCTTCCAGGGTCCTTGCCCAGCAGGTCCTCGGGGCTCCCTCAGGGACCCCCCTCCCCACTCCAAGCTGTGGTTTCCACAAGCAAATAGTCCTCACCCAGGAGGGCTCACCCAGGGCTGTGGGAATGGGGATGGGGACGGGGGCAGAGCCACTTGCTGCCCCTCCGCCTGAAGTGACCAGGGATTGAACTGCCCAGGTCTGGACTCCATCCCAGGGGTTTGTACCCACAAGGCTCAGGCACGCCCTGGGAAGGGATCTCCCATTAGTGGGTGGGAGTCGGGACAGGACAGGGCTGAGGGCTCTCTGGTCTGACGGGGCTCAGAGTGGGTTGGGGGAGCCCAGACTGGATGTGGGGACTTGCAGGAGGCCACATGGTGGGACAGGACAGGCTGTCCTCCTGTTGCCAGAGAAGCCTGTCCCTCTGCACCCCTGCCTGTGTCGGAGCGCAGGTCCATAGTGAGCAGAGCCTCCCAGGGAAGTGCTGGCTGGGGTTCTGCTCCTGGGGGGGCTGTGCCCTGTGCTTGGGTACAGGGCGGGCCCTAGGGTACAGACAGGAGGGACACGCCCATAGGGGCTGCGGGTGGAGGGTGGTGGACACTTCTCAGGAGAGCTTGGTTCTCGTTCTCACAGCTTCTTCCTTAGACACCCGGCAGTGATGCTCATAGAAACTCAGAAAGGAAATCTGACTGTTTAAATGGTGTAAAGACAGGACAGGCCCAAAGCAGGAGAGGCGCCCTGTCCTTGGCTCTAGGATGTGCCTCTGTGCCTGGCCATCGGCTGGTGCTGGCGAGCAGGGCCCGGGGCTGTTGGGGAGCCCAGGGACACAGGTCAGGGGCCCTAGGGGTACAGACTGGGGAGGTGAGACTACCAGGCTGCTTGTGAGCACAGGGTTGGGGCCTCCCCTGCACTGGGGCTCCTAGAGGGGGCTGTTCCTACATTTGCTCTGCAATGATCTCCTGATCCCACTGCAGGAGCTGAGATAACAGGAGAGACCCGAATGTGCTAATCTCCAATGGACAGAGAGGTCCCCGGGAGTAGGTCCTGCCCTTAGAGGGTGGGACTAGAGCTAAGGGCTCTTTGAGTGACGCCTTCCTCTCTTCCTCTGTGTTCTAGATGCTTCCCCTTCCCCCGCTCCCACAGCAGTGGAGGCCCAGCAGGGAGGCAGCCTGCCATGGGCCCCTGCTCAGAGGACCCCCACCTGGGTGGGGCCTCCTGGCTCCTGGGACTCACCAGCCTCCTCCTCCGTGAGTGGCCCAGGCTCCTGGGGAGGGAGGACCACCGGGCGGGCAGGGAGGCAGGAGCTGCGGGGCTGTCTGGTGTCCTTGGGGAGGAGCAGAGGAAGCAGCCCTGTGATATGGAGCACACGCGGTGTGTCTGGTTTCCAGCCCCGGGGGGAGCGGAATGAACACACGAGCTTCTGGCGGAGGCCAGGCTGGGAGCCCTGACCCTGGCTGCTTGGCTGCAGGACGGAACCCCCAGCAGGGGTGAGGCCAGGGGAGCCTGCAGTTCCCTGGGGAGAGGGATGGAGGAGACCAAGCAGGGGCTGCGGGGACCCAGGGTGGGGACGGGCACCCCCTGGCCTGCGATGCTCAGGGGACCGGGCAGCCCTTGCAGCTGCTGTGCCTGGGTGGGGCTGACCCAGAGCCCAGGGCTGAGCTGGAGAAGAAAGCAGGTGTCCTCTGGCTCCTGGGGCAACATGAGGCCTGACTATGGTGACATTCTGTTGGAAAAGGAAGGAAAGGCGGCCTCCAGAATTCAAGGGGTCTGCACCTCCTGCTGTATGTGAGACTGTGCCTGGAACAGGAGACTGAGGACAGGGGCTCCTGGTGGGGGTGCCCTGGGGGGTCAGGAGGGAAGCAGAGGGGTTCCCGGAAAGGGAACTGAAAGAAGGTCTGTGCTAACAGCGCTATTTTCTGTGTCTTACCTCATCAGACCATCTGCTTTTGTGTTACAAGTAAATAAGAACTTGAGATAGCTTTTTATTGTCTGTGGTGTTTGATTTGAGCATACTCTCTGAGGTCTACTCCCATTCTACGAAATTTCTGGCATCACTGGGCTTCAGTAAAAAGGGTGTTTACACATTAAGAACTGAGCTTTGCAGAACATTGAGACCCTTTTAAGGAGTAACTACATGTCAACAGTATGTGGACTTTGACTTTTCAATTTTTTTAATCAGACACATAGAGTAAATTATAATTTCCTCCATAAGCATCTGGGTAGGAAGAGAAAGAAAGAAAGAAGAAAGAAAAGAAAGAAAGAAAAAGAAAGAAACCACAGAACACCTCAGACCCTGCTGACCAGACAGCAGTGCTGGGAGGGAGGAGCCCCTGGACAGAGCAGGGGAGGGGGGTGCAGGGCAGGGAGGGGAGGGGCCAGAGGGAGAGTTTAGGATTCCCTGTGGGGGAAGCAAGGGACTGGGGACAGGGAATCCAGCTCCAGGTCTGCTCTGCCCTGTGTGACCTGCACAGGTTCACCCGATGGAGCCCCTCCTCTGGGAAAGGTCCCCTGGAAGTCCCCCCAGCTGTGACATCCTGGGACAGGGTGTGTCCCCCTGGTCTGGACTCTCTTGGGGCTTCTCCGAGCCTCTGCTCTATGTGGAACCTCCTGTCCTGTCCTAGTCCTGATCCTGACAAGTGCCGATAGCCAGGGAGCCTGTTTGGGGACCTTCAGAGCCAGGAGCCAGGCCTTTCGTCTCATGTCCTCATCCTTCCAAGAAGGGAGGGTTGCTCTCTCCAGGCCCCCTGGCGATCCCCTGGCCCTCTGCCCTCCCTGCCTCTGCTCCTGAGCAGGGGGTGCCAATACTGTCTGAAGGAGCCCAGCTGCTCCCTGGTGTGGGGACATGGAGGTGCAGGGCACCCTCAGGACAGGAACTGCAGGGGAGCCAATGAGAAGCTCTCAATTAAAAGCCTGGCCAGAGTACCCCAGCTTCTTTCTCCCTGCCCCCCTGGGCTGACCCCTCTGGCTGGGGCTCAGAGAGGGACACTGTGTGCTCAGGAGACTCGGGGAGCCGCCCTGGGGCAGGTGCCGTCCCGGAGACTGACCTGCTGCTCCTTGGGGACCCCCAAGGACACGGTCCCCCTTGGGGAACAAGGGCTGTGTCTCTGATTTATGCTTAGTGTCCTGTGTGTGCCACATTGTGCATATTTCACCATTAAATGAGGCCCAGGTGTTGACTGGGGTGGGGACGCAGGTCTACAGGACATTGTTCTGTCAGTGAATTCATGGGGTAGCCACCAGGTTCATTTACAGGAGAAATTCTCATTAAAATTAATATGGTATTGGAGGGCCCGAGTGGCCAGCGGGTAAGCGGCGGACTCTTGATTTGGCCTCGGTTCAGGATCTCAGGGTTGTTAATTGTGCCCCGGGTCAGGCTCCTTGGTCAGCAGGATGTATGCTTGAGAGTCTCTCTCCCCTGCCTCTCCACCACTTGCTCTCTGACTCTCTTTCTCTAATATCAATAAATCTTTAAGAAGAGATGTGGTCACGTGTGTTGATGGCAAACCAAAGATTTATCAAGAAGAGTTCGCTGGGGTCTCTCAGGAGGGCAATGAGCGGAGGCCGGCAGGAGGGGACATGACCTGCTTTGATCGATTAGACCCCCCAGTCAGTTATCCCTGCACCTACACACCTATGTGTGACATGTACACAACCGTGTGTGATGTATTTACCCACACATCTAGCAAACATGCACTCATATGTGACATGTGTGCCCCATGTGCTTTGTATGCACCCATGGAGGGTCAGATGCTCCCCCATTGGATGATCTATGTCCCTGAGCAGAGAGTCCATCCAAAGCAGCTCAGTGTGACAGTGTTTCCGGGGGGGAGGGGGACGGGGAGAAACTTCAGGGACATGAGAGGGAAGCAGAGCTGCAAAAGGGGCCATGTACATGTGTTAAGTAAGAGACTTCCACATGTGCTGACCACACAGACTGCTGGACAGAGGTGGCCCTCACCCCTCCCCATGTAGGCCTCTCCCTGGGTCAGCCCCCAACATGGCAGCGGGCTTTATCCCAGAGAACAGGACACAGGGTGAATGCAAGACAGAGTCCCCCTCTGTGTGACGTGCTGTCCCTGAGGGCCGTCTCCCACCTTAGCTGCTCCCTGCTCCCCAGAGGGGACTCCCTGGCTGCAGCCTCCACCCCAGGGGAGGGCGCCAGGGCCTGTGAGCAAGAGGGGTCTCTGCAGCCCAGTGAGCAGCTACCTCCAGCAGAAATGCTCTCGGTAGGGACCGAAAATGTGCTAGAGCTGTTGTTGGTCCAAGTCCCATGCACTTCATCCTCTTGCTTTTAGGGGTCAAGACCCTGCAGGTGAGAGAGTTCATGTGACCTGATCAAGGGGACACTCCACTGGGACAGGAGTGATTCCAGCATCGCTTCACATTCATGCATTCCCTGCCTTCCAGGAGTCAGGGAGCACATGGGAGGGATTTCATGACAAGATGGGTTCTAGGGGGGACACCTGGGTGGCTCAGCAGTTGAGCATCTGCCTTTGGCTTAGGTTGTGATCCCAGGGGTTAGGATTGGGTCCCACATCAGTCTCCTTGCGGGGATCCTGCTTCTCCCTCTGCCTATGTATCTGTCTCCTTCCTTGTGTCTCTCATGAATAAATAAATATATATATTTTTAAAAAAGATGTATTCTATGGTTTTCTCCTTTATTCCTACTGGAAAACCATTCACATTTTCTGTGTCCTATGCCCTAGGTGTTGGCAGCGCTGGGACCCAGAGTTCTGGAAACGCTGTTTCCCTGAAGGGGATGCAAGGAGCTTCTGTGTCGTTTCATGTGATCAGAAATCCAGACTTGCCTCCAGTAGATGAGCTGGAGAAGATATCATGGGGCATTGTATTCAGATCGAACTACATAGTCATGCTGCAGGTCTTTCCTGGGGCAGATGTTCCAGAATGGATCAACTGGCAAGACAAGTTCCAGAAGAGGGTCCATGTGTTCAACATAACCACCCTGAGGATTGACAACCTGACCCTGGAGGACACTGGGCTGTACCGGGCTCGAGACTCCTACACGAGAGGAAGACAATACGACCAGGATTTCCACCTGACTGTGTATGGTGCGTGGAGGCCCCTCCCCCAGCCCCAGAGCTCACCTCCTTCCTCTGTCCATGGAGGGTCCCCGCGCCCGCTCACAGGGTTCCCCCCAGACACCAGCCTTCAGATTCTCTCTTCTCCCCTGGAATCAGATGCAGGGTGTTCACCACAAATGCAGGCAGAGCTGAGAGTCACCCCAGGGATGGAATCACTTTGGTGCTTCGGGAGGGGAACCCCTGTGGGGGTGGGAGTGGGGATTTTGCCTTAACACTACTATTGCTACAGGACTCAGGGTTCTCAGGCTGTCCCTTAGCTGTCTGTGCTGCTGGGACAGGAGAGGACACCTCAGGGGCTCACACAACCCCACCTGAGGGTCCTACTGTGCTGTTGGGCAGGAGTCAGACCCCAGAGCCTGTGCCCTGAGGTCCGGGTGTGGGCAGGGCTGTGCTGGTCTCTGGAGGCTCTGGGGAGAATCCATTTCTTTTCCTGTCCCCCCTCCTGGTGGCACCTGCATTCCCTGGGTCGTGGCCCTTTCCTCCACCTTCACAGCCAGCACTGCTGGGATGAGTGCCTCTGGCACTGGGTCCCTCGGACCTCCTCTCCTGCCTCCTTCTACTTGGGAGGACCCTGTGATCACATGGGGCCCATCAAGACACCCAGACCATCTCTGGTGTAGGCTCAGCTGGTTAGCAGCCTCAGACCACCATTGACTTGGAATCTAAGACACCTTCAGGTTCTGAGGGTCAGCACTTCAGCATAGCTGGGGTCACTCGTCATGAAGTGGGATCCAGACTCCCACGTGTGGTTCTCCACCCTTTCCCCCGATCCCCTTTCAGCCTCAGCCCGAGCAGCTCACTCACAGACTCCACTGGTCCAGCTCTAAACCTCCACGGATATAGGAGTTCACATGGCAGTCCTTTCTCAGGATCTCAGGGAGCATCCTGCTCTCTCCCTGCACCCCGCTCTGCCCAGGGAGCTGTCTGCTCCAGAGAGAGTGGCCTTGGCAGCCTCAGGTCCGACAGATTCTAAGGATCTGTGTTAGCCTGTTAGCCTGTCCCCTGTCTTCATGGGTGGAACCAAAGTTCAGTGCGTATTCCAACCACACAGAGGGTGGTCTTTCCTAGGGGGCACCAAGGAGTCCCCCATAACAGTCTTTCATGGTGGGAACATAGGGCCAATTTCAGGGCTTGGGCGTCATCTGAACATAAGCACAGGCAGGCTCTAGATCCTGATAATCAGGCCCTAGACTTCTCTTTCTTCTAGGGGACACCTCGCTTTCTTTAACTAATTAGCTGTGGGTCAGTGGGCTCCAGCATTTATTTTTTCACGTGATAGTTTTAGTCTTTCTCAATCTACAGAAGTCACATAGAGCTGAACTCACTGGCTCCATCCTTATGCACCTGATGTATAATTGGTCACTTCTGTGTCATCTATAAAATGCTTTCACCATCCTGAGGGGGAGGAGGCGAGAGCTTCAGGGAGATTCCACAGGACAAAGCCTGAGGTGTGACATTTTCCACTCACATGACCCTCTGTCCTCTTGTCCTTCCTGCCGCAGAGCCCCTGCCCCTTCTCCAGATCAGGACCACGAATCTGTCCATCACCCCAGGCTGGTGCAATGTCACCGTGCAGTGTGACACCCCAGGAACCAGGGAGGACCTGACCATGTCCTGGGTGAGCAGGGGACTCCCCAGGGAGCTGGAACAACGAGAGGCCGCACGACCAGCCCCCAACCCCTGGACCCTGGCTCTGAGCCTGCCCCTGAGCCAGCCCAACGCCAGCCTCACCTGTGTGCTCAGGAACCAGGTGGAACAGAAAACTGCCACCTTGGATCTTGGGAACATATGTGGCCACAGTAAGTGCATCCTGCAGAGGGGAGGGGCTGCTGATGCTCAGGCAGCCCTGGGTGAGGGTTTTCAGGTCTGTCTCTTTGTTTATGGCACCACCTGCCACGTGGTCATCCCATCCAGAGTCTGGCAGGCACATCCACCTGCTTCTGCCCTTGGGTGTTGCTCCTGGGCTCCTCTCCCCCCCCCTCACCCCTGCTGGTCCAGGCAGCACTCAGCAGGGACCTCTGCCCACCCTCATCCATCATTCCCTGTGTCCAGGGTGGTTTTCAGGAGGGGAGTTGGGGGATGTCAGGAGTCTGTGCCACCAGAAGGGGTATGAGCCAGCGACTCCTTCAGGATCCAGGGCCGGGGGCTCCTCTGCCCAATTCTGGGCTCACGGACAACATCACCCCACCTGCTGGCCTGGGTCCCAGATGTGTCCTGCTGTCCTCAGCCCCCAGCCTCTGGTCAGGCTCCTCACTCTGCCCTCAGCCCTTCCAGGTCAGGACCCTCAATCCCCCAACCCCCGTCCAGGGACCCCTTGGCTCCAGCTGGCTCTGGGCCCTGACACCTGAGCAGTCCCCGGGGCCGCCGCTGGGGGCAGGTCGAGCATGAAGAGAGTTTGACCCAGGGGTCTGGGCCTCAGGGGCTCAGGTCTGGCAGGACCCGCTGCCATCCTGCCCTCATACCTGCCTCCTCTCAGGAGCCACCAGGGGCCCCCACACTGAGAGTGAGGCTCTGGGCCAGGATGAGCCTCCTCTGCAGCCCCAAGCCGTGGACGGCAGCGGCCACGTCTGCTTCTCCTGTGAATTCCTGTCCCTGCTCAGCCCCGGGCTGCTTGCTCACAGTCTGTGTTTCCCTGAGTGAATGAGTGACCCGGTGCTCCGTGTGCCCCCTCGGCCCTCCCGCCTCCTCCACCAGCTGCTGTGGCCCTGCTGCCTCAGTATCCCCAATCCCAGGGGAGCTCATCGCTCAGGGACCCAGTGGACCTTCTGGAACGATGCCCCTGCCTCCCTCTCACCCTCCTACCTGGCTCCTCCCTGCTTGGTCCCCCTCCCACCTGCCCCAGTGGGTGCTGGAGCTCCAGGGCTGGCGAGGTGCCCCCTCCCTGTTCATGGTCCTCCTTCCTGGAAGGCGGCACCCACCCTGCCTGTCTGCTCCCTGCACTCCTCCCTCAGGATGAGGTTTTCCCATCACCTCCCCCAGGAGGCCCTCCCTGACCACGTGTGTACAGGCTGGGAGCTCCTGTGCCCTGGGATGGCTCTGGCTGGCTCCCTCTGGCACGTTCTCACCCTCCTCCCACAGAGGTGTCCTTAGGGGTGGGCACCGTGTCCTGTTCCTCTCAGCACCCTGGCTTCAAGCAGGAGCTCGGGAAGTGTTGAGTGAAAGCACCTGCCTTGCTGCTCCCTCCTCAGCTTCTGAGCAGGTGTCTCCAGATGTGGTCACGTGCTGGGCAATGGGCATCTGTTCTTCTCTTGGCCCTTAACCTTCTCCATCTCTCTGTGCGAGGGAAGCAGATCCACAGGGACAGAGTGATGCTGACCATCTACCCGGCATCCTGGTGACTGTTGTGGTCCTGCTGCTGATCCTGGGAGCTGGACTGTTCCTCTGGAGGAGAGGAGTGAAGAAGAGCCTGGAGCCTGGGAGAGGCAGGTTGCACTTCTCCTCCCCGGGCCCTGGACCCTGGGCTCCCTTCCTCCTGCATTTCCTATAGGGGATGTCCCTGCAGGAGGTTGGTGGGGGCAGCCATGGCCTTTGGGTCATAGAGGGGAGGGTACAGGTTTCCAGGGCTCAGACTTCAGCTCCCTCTCTGTATGACCCAGGTGCAGGGTCGCAGGAGGAGCATAGGGACCCAATGATGGCATCCACTCTGCAGAGCTGAGCCAGCAGGGGTCTGGAGACAGCAGGGACCAGGTGAGGCTGGGAGAGGGGGCACCCTGGGTCCTCCCACATACCTCTGTGCCTGGGTATGTGCTTGTCAATCCCCATTATCCACAGGGTCTGATCCTGATGCCCCTGGAATCCTTTCCAGACACACAATATTAGCTACAAAATTCACTTCGGGGCCCATGCAGTGCTGGGTGATTAGGGGAGGTCATGTCAGCAGCACTGGGTCTGGGGGGGTCCCTCTGGGGCCTGTCTATCTGCTGCTGTGGGAACCTCTGTCTGCATTCCAGGGTAGGGGTGCAGCACCTCTAAAAGGGGAGACGCTTCTCACTACTGTTTACAGTGAGGTCCGCAGGCCAGGCATGGCCATGATGAGGATTTAATTGGAAGAAGCAGGAGAATCCGGCCCTCTGGGGACACTTGTGTCATGGGCATGATGCCTGCAGCTCTGGTCTCACCTCTTCCTCCTCTGACTGCTCTGGTGAGGGACTGGATGGTCCAAGCATCAGTTAGTGTCTATGCTAAGTGGTTCTGCACACGTTCACCATGAGACACACACAGTGGTAGAGCAAGAGGGAAACTGAGTCAATGTATTGGTACCAACATGTTCCAGGTCGGCTCAGCCTCCGCCCGGACACCCCTGGATGGACTCTGCTCTCCTCCTCATCTATAGGACAGCAAACTACCTTCAGACCCTCGCCCCCTGGACGCACCACTGTGACTCACAGCCTCCCACCCGGACAGTCTGAACAGCAGCCCACGGTCAGGCTGGGCCGAGAGCTATTCAGAGACGCGATGCCTCCGCGGCGGTCAGCGCGGGCTGAGTGCTGCTCTGTGGCCCGCACTGCTCTGACCTCGTGCAGGCTGGGACCTCCCGGGCCTCTTGCACACGCCGTGACGTGGGGGTCTTGTGCGCAGGGTCGGGTCAGTAGAAGGAGGCCTTGGAGGCTGACTCTGGAGGCCGCGCAGCTGGGAGCGCTGGGCCGGGACCCAGCCTGGGGATTGGGGCTCCAGGGCGCGGCCCCCCAGTCCTTGGCTGTCTGTCCCGAGTCCTGGTAAAGCTCCCTTCTGTCCTGTCCTGCTGCAAATGCCAGAGCCTCCTACTGTTCAGGAAAAAGTGGAAGTTTCTGGGTCCTACCAGTTAGCTTTTAACAGGCTGTGTTGATTGACACCTGCCTCCCTCCTTCTCTCTCTGCGGAGGATGCTGAGGTCCTGGGGTCTCAGTGAGGATTCCCCCCCCCACTGTAGGGGCCTTCTCTGGGTCGTGTCCTGTGTGCATTACTCTCCCTGGTTGTCTCTCTGACCTGTGCCCCTTCCCTGCAGCCCTCACCCCATCTCCCTGCCCCCCGGCTCAACACCTGAGCCTGCTCCTAGGCCTCACCTCACAGGGCCCCTAGATCACCAGGAGGTGACCCTGGTGGTACCCTTTCATGTTCCACACCCTGTGCCCTTGGGTCCTTACTGGCCACTCTCCTGGACCCCCCACACACCCACCTGCCACCCTCCCAGGCTCCTCAGCTGCCCCTCCAGGGCCCCTCTTCCCTCACTGGTGGTGCTCCTCAGGATTTGAGACAGCCTCCTTCCCATCTCCTGTGTCCTTTACTTCTGGGCCCCTTGCTCCCAGGGCTCAGTGTCCCATCCCAGCAGAGATGCCTAGGCCTGCCTCCGCAGCCGATGCCTTCTGCTAAGTCCCAGCCCTTGCACTGCAGCCCCTTGTCCTCATCCCTGCCCCTGTGTCCTCCCCCATCCTCTCCTCCCAGGGTCACAGCCCAGCTGCCCTTTCTGTAACACCTGGGATCTGGTGAGAAAGAGCAGGAGCTCCCCTCCCACAGGAAGGAATGCAGAAGTAATTACAATTACACAGTAAATGTACCTGTTTTGTTCATGGGAGAGGTGGGAGCAGTTTACCTGAACCCAAGAAATAATGGTAAGGTCACCTCTTGGTATGGGACGACTTTTCTCTCCTTATGTGCTCTTCCACCATTCCCCCAGGTGACACAGCTCCCTGCTATTCACCTGGATTAGTAATTCAAGCAGGACAAACTGAGTCTCAAATGTCCCTTCCTCTCCGTCTCCCAGCTGAGCCTCAGATTGCACTGGAAGCAGGTAGATCCCCTGAAAACAGAGGAAAGCAGAGAGGCTTGTCATCCCCAAACCTCCTCTTCCACACAGGAGCCCGCAGGCATGCACACACACACACACACACACACACACACACACCACCACCACCACCACCTTCCAGCCACACAGCTGCATGTGCCTCAGGACGAGGGCTGTCCCACAGACACCTAGATCACAGTGTCAGCAGGACTCTGAGTATCTGAGGACATTGTCAACATCTGGAAGGTGGCAGAGCAGGTCGGTGTCTGAATCTGCATACATTTCTGAGCTCAGCTCCCTTCCCTGCAGGATCCCTAGGGCTCCCCCTTGGTGCTGGTGGGGAGCAGTAAACACCATTTCTGGTCCGTGGGAGTAGTAACCACAGCGGGTGCTCACTGCCTCAGTAGCCACACCGCACACAGTCTGTGACAGAAGTGCCCCAACTTCATGTTTGCATGGTTCCTGTGTTCAGTTTAGACCAGACAGTAAGGGTGTGAGGATGGAGGTGAGGGCTCGAAGCCACAGCACCTCCCACAGAGCCTCAGGGCCCCCCCCCCCAGCACCGGGGCCCTGCCCCTGTCACCCATTCTGTTGAGCTCCACTAGATGCCTCCCCATCTCTGCAGAACACTCAAGACCCTGGTGCACTCCCCTCGACTGGGAGTACACACTTCTAAATCTGTGTTCCATTCCTGACTAGTGTGAGGGTGGGTCCCTTCCCTCCCTGTGAGCCTTCTGTCCTGCTGCCTTGCTGAACTCATGTTTTAGTCCAGGGATTTTTCTGTAGAGTCCACGGGACTTTCTGTGCAGACAAACATATAAATAGTGTCTATGATAAACACAAGTTTTCTCTTTACCATTTTAATCTATATTTTATTTTATTTCTTTTTCTTGTTATTGCACTGCTCAGACTTGCAGGTGAATGCTGAAAAGCAGTGGGGAGAGCAAACAGCCTTGCCTCCTTCCTAATCTTAAGGGGAAAGCTTTCAGTTTTTCACCACTTATTAGTGATATTAACTTCAGGGATTTTTGTCAATATGCTTTATTAGATTTATCACTTTCACTCTCTCTGCTCTTTTCTTTCTTATTTCCTTTCTTCCACTTGCTCTGGGTTTAATTTGCTCTTATTTTTGTAGATTCATAAGGTAAATGCTTAAATTATTAACTTCAAGCATTTCTTCTTTTGCAACATCCACCTGTCATCATATATATTTCCCTAAAGCACTGGGTTATCTTGTTTTCACTCATTTTGAATACTTGTCTTTTTATATCCATTCACTTCAAATATTTAAAATTTCCCTCGAGACTTCCTCTTTGAGTCATGAGTTATTAAGAAGTGATTTGTTTAATTTCTGCATGTTTGCAAATTTTCCTGTTATTAAATTCTACTCAAGAGGCACCTGCATAGCTTAGTGGGTTCAGTGCCTGCCCTTGACCAAGGTCATGATCCTAGGGTCCTGGAATTAAGCCTTGCGTCAGAATCCCTGCTCGGCAGGTGTCTGCTTCTCCCTTCCCCTTGCTCATGCTCTCTTTCTCTAATGAATAAAATATTTACAAAAATTTCTACTCTATTTCTATTATGGTCAGAGAAATATGTTATTTCAAATATATAAAAATACTCACGGTTTGTGTTAGTACCCAGGATAAGACAATACTTTGGGGAGTTCTCCAGGTGCACCTAAAAGGAATGTGTTGTCTGGTGTTAGGGTTGAATATTCTCTAAATATCAATGAGTTTGAGTTGAGTCATGGTCGTATTTATTGTGTGTGTTCTTGGTGATTTTCCATTCCCTCGGGCCACTCTCGGGGGAGGATGCTCTGCTCTCTGACTGTGACAGTGGATCCATGTGCTTCTCCTTCAGATCTGTCAGCTTTGCTTCATGTGTTCGGTGCTTTGCTGTTAGGCGCTCACACACGTCGGTTTCTTCTCCCTTGTTGCATACTTGACCTTTCCTTATTATGTACTTTTCTTCTTCATCCCCAGAAATGTTCCTTGCTCTGAAGTCTTCTCTCTCTAATGTTAATTGGCCCTTCTAGATTTCTTTGGATTAGTGATTTTGTAGTGTGATAATTTATTATGTGTATCAACTTGGCTAGATTCCAGTGCTACGAGTCACGGTCAAGCATTATTCTGGATGTTTATTTGAGGAGATTTTGGATGAAATACACTTACAGGGATGAATGTTGAGTAAAGCAGACTGCCCTCCACAGTGTGGGTGGGCCTCATCCAATCAGTGGAAGGCCTGAGCAGGAGGAAAGACTGACCCCCCTCAGCAAGAAAGAATTCGACAGCAGGTGGCCATGGGACAGGCACTGCAGCACAGGCTCTTCCTTCTGTCTCCAGCCTGACCACCTTGGACTTGAACCCCAGCAGCGGATCTTCCCTGGGTCTCAGCCTGGCTCACCTGGTGCAGGCTCTAGACCCGTCAGCCTCTCTAGTCATGTGAGACCCTCCTGACAGTAAATGTCTCCATGCTTATCAAGATCCTATGACTCTGTTTCCCTGGAGAATCCTGACTCCTATCCACAGCCCAGCTTTCCCATCGTTTCTCTGCTAACTCAGTGCTATCAGGCCACACTGGGAGCTGTGGTTACAGGGTGACATGGGCCCTTCTGTATCCTGTTGTCTGGGTGCTCCTCCACCTGAGGTGCTGCCTGGCCATCCTCTCCTGGTCCTGCTCCTGCCCCATCCCAGCGCCCACAATGAATGGCCCCACAAAAACCACATCACCCTGCTCTCCGTGCAGGGCAGTGGTTTTCCCTCGGGTGATTTTCCCGAGATTCTGTCTCACCCTCTTCTCATCCTACCTTCTCTCCCACTCTCACTGACTGTCCCAGTGAGTTTCCTGCTCCCTTGTGGTCACAGGGGACTGGCCAGCCTGATGGGGATCCCAGGAGACCTTCTGTCCAGTGAGACCACAGCCGGGGCATGAACATCACTCCCCAGAACTGGATGCAGAGGAAGAACAGGTGAGGAGGAGGAACTGGGCAGAGATGCCTGGACATGCTTGTCCTTCCAGCTCCTGAGGTTCTTGGGACAAGAAGAAGGTAACACATGTTATCAGTGCTGCTCATCAGAGCAGAATTTCTTTCTTTTTTTATATTTTATTCAAATTCAATTTGGCAATATATAGTATAAAACCCAGTTAAAGGCAGAGTTTCTTTCTTTAAGAGTTTGAGTAAATTCTGTTTACAACAGTAAAGGACCAGCTAGGAGAGAAAGGGTGACAAACATGGACAAAATTGTGCCCTGTAGCCGGAGTCCAGCCACAGCCTGGCTCTTCACTTGCCCCACACCCGGGGGGAGGGGAGGGAGGCTTGAGGACACGAGAGGAGCCGACTCCCCGGGAAGGCCGGGACCCGTGGTCCCCAAGAGCTGTGGCCCTGACCATCCACCTTAGAGGGCTGCAGGAAGGGAAGCTAAATGGCTCCACGATGCAGACAAACCCAGGGGATGAGACCTGAGGCTCCATAAATCTCTCAGTGGATCAGTCCTTCCACTGCGCCCCCATCCAGGTGCAGTGGGGGGACCCAGGAGCCTCGGGCACCTCTAGTCCCTCTGCCATGTCGCTCCCTTCTGAACCTCCACGTTCGTGGGCATCAGTGGGATGGACCAGATGCTGGGTCCTCGTCGATCGACTCTCTTCCAGCCTTTAAAGTTCCTGCTTCCTGACTTCTTTTGCAAAAGTGAACAGATGGAGCGTGTGTGAGGATGGATCTGTCCTCTGCTTGCTTCCCCTTCTCAGCTGCTGCCGGTGCTGCTCACCAATGCTGCTCGTGCTCAGGGGTGTCCTTAGTCTCAGTGGTGTTTCTCCCTCAGGAGCCTGTGGGCAGCCTGAGGGTAGAAGCCTCACCTTGTTCTCTGTCATATTACCTATGACTTCTACAGAGTTGTGTCCTGGTAGCTGTTAACAATTGCGGTTTGGAAGATGTGAAACATTTGCTCAGACATAAATTGTCCCTCTCTGGACTGCTAGGGGAGACCAATGAAGCCTGCATATCAGATCCACAAAGTTGAGTGTCAGTGTCCCTGCTGACCCCCTACTCAGAGGTGCCCACCTGTTTCTGCCCGGAGAAGTTCCAGGGTCTCCCATGAACGGATCTGCGCAGTGTGCATCCAGCCAGGGGAACCCAGCAGTGTGTGACTCACTATATGCTCCTAGGATCATGTTTCACTCCATCTGCCCTCATGCTGCTCTTCCAAAGGGACTCCATCACATCAATCTGACCAAGTGAGAAAGAAGTAGGCTGCACACTAGTTGTCCTGGCACCAAGAAAGGTACCAGAAATGGATTATAAATCCCATGAAAATCAAGGGTCTTGACATCATAGTGAAGTTTTTAGGGGTCCAAGCATTTGAGGGAAGAGCAGGATATCCCTCCAAATTGAAAAGCAAATTTGTCTTCCACATATGCCCTGTCATGAGGAAAGAGATATGGTGTTTTCTAAGCATGTTTGTGTATCTGGAGTCACATTTATCACAACTGGGTGTGCTATGTCACTGTATTTACCAGTAATCAACACAACAGCCAACTTGGAAGAGCAAGAGAAGATTGCTACCTGGTGCGGGCTACAAGGTAAGTAGCTCTGCTTTTGACTCTTATGGTCCTGGAGCCCCACAGGTGTTTGAAGTGATATTGAGCTATTTAATTGCTCCTTGGGGCCTGGTAGAAGCCTCTGATATTAAGCAGAACCACATCTTCTTTGGAAAGTAATTTTTATCTCATATAATTTTAGGCTTGATGTTGGGCTCTAGGAGACACTCAGCCGTGCACCTTGGGACACACCAAATGACTGTGTTCCCCTGCCAATTGTCCTCAGCTGCACATTTCCTGATCCACGAAATCATACAATCAATCATGTCTTGTTCCCTTCCATTATCACATGGAAGTTACATACAAGCCTAGGCCCAGCAGGACCTGGTGACACTACGAAGTTGCACCAATGGGCCCCTTACAATCCCGATGCATCTGCTCTTGCTGCCAAGACCATCTCTAATGCTGGTGGAGACAGGGTGAGAGGACATATGGAGATCCACAGAACCTATATCTGCACGTGGTTAAATCCTAAGTAAAACATATTCAATTGTCCTAACTTGAAATCTTGTCCTGGTAGCATACTGAGGGAGTACATTCCAAAAAGTCACTCATGAAGCTATGAGCTAGACATTGGTGTTCACCCAATGGATCCACCTGTCCTTAAGATTCAGAAACCTTGCTGGCTGGGGAAGGAGGCCTGTGGCCAACCCTGGGCTGATGGGGGCCTCCTCCCTGCTCCACTTGCTGCCCAGAGTCTCCTGAAGCCTGCCTGGTGCTGACAGAGGAACTTCCACCAGGCTGCTCTGGCTCTGCTCCTGGAGGACACCTGGTCCCAGGAGCAGCAGACATTTGCAGAAGCACAGTGCCAACAATGAAAGACAGGCCACAGTGTGGTTAGCAGGTGAGGAAGTGACAGGTAGAGAAAGTCTGCAAGGTCTGCTATCAGAGACCATGTATGAGTTTAAAGCTACAAGTGCTCTTTCTCTGTGAAGTCAATGCCTGGTGGGATTCCCACGAGCGTTTGGAAAAGTGAGACTTGCACGTGAGGCTTGTGAGTACATATCAACCATAGGGAAGGAGAGGCCTCTGCAGATGTATGGGGATTGGAGAGATGTATTTACTAGAGAGTGACAAAAAGTTGCAGAGCATTGTGGGAGAATCTTTAAGCAAGTCTTACAGGTGAGGCCTGGGCTTCAGTAGTCCAGCCTGCAAATTACAGTACAGAAGATTTGAGGATGAAGTAGAGATGCTGGCAGTTCACCAGCAACTTGTTGGGTGGGACACATCAGTCAGGAACAGGGATTGGGAGGCAAATGCAGGTATGCTAAGCCCCTAAAGTTAGATTTGTGCAAATCAGCCTTCTGGTGGGGAGACAAGGAGTGTCCACCTCTAGCCTCAGAAGCAGCCTCAGCCCAGATATGTAGGGAGCACTGTCAGATGCAAAGGCCACTAATTAATCTCTGTGCACGTGGGATGGAGCAAGGAGTTGCCACAGGTATGAGCACCTGCCCTTAGTACCTAGCAGTTCTCATGCATGTCGTGTAGATTCAGGCAAATCAAAGTGCTGCCTGGATCCTGGAAGGCAGAAAGTCCTAGTGGCTTGTTTCAAGTTGAGGCAAGAAAGTATAGTATCAGCACGAGCACCAGAAGCAAATCCCACCCTGAGAGTCCAGGAATTAAAACCAGGAAATGAAGAGGTGTCAGGGTGATAGGAAGTTTGAGACGGAGAGGTAAAAGACCTGAGTAGATAAACTTTTCTGCTCCCCTTGGCAGAAGGGCATCTAGCAAAGGATGCAGTCTTCCAGCGTCGACCCTGACCTGCAGCGGGCAGGCTGGATGAGCAGACCTGCTCTAAAGCCCAAATGTGGCTGGTTTTGATCCAATAACGGTGGCACATGTCCCACTGGAAATCCCAGCACCTCCTGCTGGTACAGGGGGGACCCTGCCTGACTGGGTTGGACAGGTGAAGCCATGTTTGGTGAGCCAGTGCCCAAGTTCTACCTATTTCCCCCACCCTGTTAGGAAAAGGACAAT